CTAAAGCAGTTGAGGCTATAATTAAAAATCACTATGTAGATGATTATTTAGACAGCTTCAACGAAGTAAAAGAAGCTGTAAAAACTGTATCAGACATCATTCAGATACATGATAAAGCTAACTTCCGAATAAGGAATTTTATATCAAATTCGAAGTCCTGCTTGAAGCAATTACCAAATGATAGAATCTCTCCAATAAAGGAAGTGAAACTGGATGATAACGAAAATGTATATGAAAAGGTCCTGGGTATGTATTGGGACACGCAAAACGATAAACTTACATTTAAAATCAACATTCCCAATTTAGTAATGTTGGAACCGACAAAAAGACAAGTGTTGTCTTTTATTATGAGTGTGTATGATCCTCTTGGGTTAATCGCACATATAACAATCGAATCTAAAATAATAATGCAAGATTTATGGCGACGTGGTATAGACTGGGATGATAAAATTCCCGATGACATAAATAAGACTTGGCAAACCTGGATTAATAGATTGTCTTCCCTATCTAAGATAAAAATCCCAAGATGTTACTCTTATTTTAAAGGCGTGATACGTCGAGAACTTCATGTTTTTTGCGACGCCTCACTGAACGCTTTCGCTACTGTTATATATATGAGAACAGTAAGCAAAGACGGCATTGATGTAACGATTGTTGCTGCCAAATCAAAGGTTGCTCCCACGAAAATAATGTCAATACCTCGTTTAGAACTACAAGCTGCTGTATTAGGGACAAGATTATCTAATACAGTACAGAGAGCATTACGACTACAAATAGACCAGGTTATATACTGGTCCGATTCAAAAACAGTCATAAGTTGGATCAAATCTGAATTAAGAAAGTTCAAACAATTCGTTCAATACCGTGTTAGTGAAATCCTCGAAAGCACCGTTGAATCACAATGGAAATATATTAGTTCAGCAGCAAACCCGGCTGATGAAGGAACTAAAGTAAGGCAATCGAAATCGTCTTGGATTGACCCGCGTTTTTGAAGCTGGACGAGAAACATTGGCCATCCGTGAATGGGGACAATCATAGTTCAGACTTAAGTCATGAAGAATTACGTCCCGTACATTCGATAAAGAGCATAAGCAAACCAAATTTAGATTGGCTGAACGTTAAATGGTGTTCGGATTGGGACCGTTTAAAGAGGTCTGTATGCATTACAATAAAATATATAGAGTGGCTTAGGTCTAAAACAAACAAAGAATTGAGATTCGATAAGACCATCAGTGCTGTTGATATGGAAAGGGCAGAAATTTTGCTGATTCTGAAAACTCAATGGGATGCATTTCCAGATGAGTTAACGGAACTCAATGTTAAACAGACGGTTGACAAATCTAGCAAAATACGAACGCTAACACCATTCCTAGATCAAAATGGTACAATAAAATCAGAAACACGATATAAGGATGCAGAGTGCGTTCCTTATGCGGCTCGATATCCTTACATACTTCCAGCAAAGCATCATGTAGTTGATTTAATATTGAAAAATCAACATGAACAGTTTAAACATAAAAAAATGAAGGCTACGATAGCAGCAGTGCAACAAAAATATCATGTTATCCAAATAGATGCTGGAATGAAGAGGACAATAAAAAAATGTCAACATTGTAAAAATGAAAATGCGAAGATAAATACCCCTAAAATGGCACCTCTACCTGAGTGTCGATTGCAACCGTTCGTGAAACCATTCACCCATACCGGAGTAGATTACTTTGGGCCGTACAATGTGTCCATCGGACGAAGAACAGAAAAACGATGGGGAGCATTGTTTACATGTATGACAACAAGGGCAGTATATCTTGAAATAGCCCATGATCTGTCTGCAGATGCATTTTTATTATGCTTGAACTCAGTGCAGAACAGACGAGGCAGAATAAAATTCCTTTATAGCGACAACGGTACTAATTTTGTAGGAGCTGACAATGAACTAAAAAAGATTCAGCACAGACTTGCGTCAAGAGGAATTGAATGGCATTTCAACCCCCCATCATCTCCACACTTTGGTGGAGCATGGGAAAGGTTGGTTCAAGAAGTTAAAAGTCTTTTACCAAATCAAACTATGCCAGAACACACATTCCGTGCGTTATTAACAGAAATCGAAAATATAATAAATAGTAGACCTTTGACGAAAATATCTTTAGATGCCACGGATGACGAACCACTCACTCCAAACCACTTCCTAATTGGTTGTGCCGGCGGTGCCGAACCATCATTGAATGATGTGTCGAAGGCAGAGGCCACTAGACAACAATGGAAGAAAGTGCAGTCTATGGCTAAAACTTACTGGGATAGGTGGTTACACGAATACCTTCCTTCATTAGCCAAAAGATCAAAATGGTCGGAAGCTGTGAAAAATGTAAAGGAAGGAGACATCGTTATGATTGCTGAAGATGATCAAAAGGCAAAGTGGAAAAAGGGAGTTGTTTTGAAAACACATGTAGGCAAGGATGGTCAGGTAAGATCGGCTGTTGTGAAAACAGCCTCTGGAGAATACACTCGACCAGTAGTCAAATTGGCTATTATGGATGTTGAGGCGCCAGGCGAAGCTTCTTCAAATGAAGACAATAAAAAAGAACAAGTAGCATCAAAACGGGTGTTAAAACACCAAGATGTTGAAACTACCATTAAGAAAGATTGCTTTGTGGGAATGATACGCAAAGTAAATGACGAAACACTCGCGGAATAACGATCATATATAAGTAAACCTAGAAGGATTTACGGGCTCCGGAATGTTACCGCGAGGCAATTAATTTAAAACCAAAACCATAAGATAACCACATAGTTGCATCCCGTTTGCACAGCCCTAGCTGACGTTGATACCAAGGCCAAGAATATGAAATGAAAAGTAGGGCAAAAGGAGCGAGAGCTCGTTTTACATAATCTAACTGCAGTATTTACTTAGGAACGTTTCTGCGTTCAAGTAGGATAAACACGCCCACGCATGGCATGCTTGCGCATCTAGGTTACGTTTAGCTTTCCCTCTCTGTTTATCCTTAACGAAGGATATAATTATAATGTTTAAACGTTACAAATGTTTCATTCTTATTTGTAGAGCCATATCAGATCTGAGTTACAAAAAGAAATAAACTTACAAGATAACCCGAGAAATCCCAGATCTGAGAGGGCATAGTATATAAGATCCAAATAACACAAATTTACCCTTTCAAGGGCGATCGAAATCCTAGCTAATAGAATAGGCAAAATTAGGTCAAAAGTCCGGTATTGAAAGGGATATGTAAAACCCTGGACGAACCAAGTAAAAGTTTTACATAATTATAAGTTGCTAATGCAACACGTAGCTGTAAGATCACTTTGTACAATTTTGTTGAATAAAATTAAGTTTCATAGGTTACTCCAGATTCTTCTCTTTTTTGAATCCGAAAGAACTTTCGGCCTAGAAGTGAAAACTTCTCTCCTTAACCGGGGAAAAAAAAGTAGCTCCTAGAATCGAGAAACAGTGTCTGACCTGAAAGTGAAAGACTCTCCCTAACCGGAGAAGAAAGTAGCTTTTGGCGGCGACAACTCCCACCAATTGATTTGTGCAGAACCGAAATTCATTTAATTTTACTATTTTTTCTATCAAAACTACTATACCGTTTGAGTAAGCATAGTAGTTTTGACAGAATGGTAGTAAATTTGATTATATTTATAGTCAACTATACTGAAATCATGGTAGATTTAACGGTATTAAGCGTAGTTATATTGAAAATAAGTGTTTTCTGCAAAATAGTATTCCTAACTATTCTCTTTGTTTCAGTGTAGAACCCAACGTTGAGTTTTTTTTAACTTAATTTTGAGTATTTTTTTCTTGCCGTGTGCTTGTGTCAACAAATTCAGCTACAGGGGCATGTCGACTTCAACCGACCAAAGTCGACTGCATGTTGCCAAAAATGTATGAAAAAGAAAATGAAATTCACAGCTGTCAAAATTGTTGCAGTCGGCGAATTTCAATCGTCTTCGACGGGGGAAGTGAATTTGGCATCGTTTTATTAAAAATTGCAATTTTCTTGTATAAAACCGCTTCAAAATGCCGTATGCCAACCAGCCATCGGTGAATATTACGGAACTGACGGACGAGAATGTGAAGTTTGTCGTCGAGGACACGGATTTAAGGTATATTTTGATTGTTCACCAACCCGTCTTACAAGGGTAGTAAGGTTACGTTTCGCATCTTCTGCCTCTGCAGCGTCACCAACAGCCTCCGGAGAGTGTTCATCGCCGAGACCCCAACGCTGGCCATCGATTGGGTTCAACTGGAGTCGAACACGACCGTTTTGGCCGATGAGTTCCTTGCGCACCGGGTCGGGTTGATTCCGCTCATCTCGGACGAAGTGGTGGAACGGATGCAGTACAGCAGAGATTGTACCTGTTTGGATTTTTGCACCGAATGCAGCGTAGAGTTTACGCTGGATGTCAAGTGTAACGATGAACACACAAGGCACGTAACGACGGCGGATTTGAAATCCAGCGATCCTAGGGTTTTGCCAGTTACGTCGCGGCATCGAGACGACGAGGACAACGAATACGGCGAGGGCACGGATGAAATTTTGATCATCAAGTTGCGAAAGGGACAGGAGCTGAAATTGCGTGCATATGCCAAGAAGGGATTCGGAAAGGAACACGCCAAATGGAACCCGACTTGCGGTGTATGTTTCGAGTACGATCCGGACAATTCTATGCGTCATACTCTTTTCCCGAAACCGGATGAGTGGCCAAAGTCGGAACACACCGAACTGGAGGACGACAAGTACGAAGCGGATTTCAACTGGGAGGCTAAGCCAAACAAGTTCTTCTTCAACGTGGAAACATCCGGGGCCCTCAAGCCAGAAAATATCGTTATGATGGGAGTGCAGGTGCTGAAGAACAAACTTTCAAACCTGCAGACGCAGCTCAGTCACGAACAGCAGACTGATGCTTTGGCTATTTAAGAAACATCTAATGATAAGGAACAATATTAATATTAAGTAAGGTATAATACAAATTGTTTAAACCTATTCAAAAATCCAATTCCTTTAATCTCCTCTCATACGTTACAGTTAAACTTTCTTAGGAAAACATGCGTCAAGTCCCCGAAATTCCCTCCCAGATTAATAATCGTCACTATCATCCTCGTCCTGAGATATCTGTTTCTGATAGAGCTCGGCATTCTGTTGCAAGCTGTACCACTGCTGCTGCTCAGCGGCAGCCTGTTCTTCCCGGGCCTTGGCAAACAGTTCCTGCTGCTGCCGGAGCAGTTCTTCCTCCGGGATGCCAAGATTCTCCAACCGTGTGCTCTGCCGTCGTCGCTTGGCTGCCACCTGTTTGCAATCGTTCAGCACGGCTTCCGCTTCCTGTTTGTAGTCCTTGAAACCTAACCGATCCAGTGCCTCCAGTACGTGCTCCGCGTTGATGGTTTTCTTGTTCCGTTGGTTGCAAACCTCGTTGGCTTCCGAGCTGATTAGGTGAATGAACTCCGTGCAGCAGTTAAGAATCAGCTCCCGGCTCTCGTTGGCCACCCGTATCGATGGTACCTGGAAAAGTTAGTTCGGGTCATTACTGAGTAGGCATTCAGCGGGTTTTTTTGCTTACCAGCTCCTTAATTATTTTGTTGATACTGGCCCGCGGCAGAGTGAGCTCATCGTCTTCCGGATTATTCGGCGGACACAGCTCATCATGAGGATCAGACATGATATTTCAAGCTGACGAGCGGGTTCAAAACGTTGTAAAGCGTGTAATTAATTAAAAATAAGCAATTATTCTGCAAATTGCCGAAAGGATTGACGATTACGGGAGGAAAAACTTATTCGCGGAGATAAATAAACAACATGGCTGTCAAAACACGGCGACATCAGTCAATTGACGATCAAACAACAATTGACGCTAATATGGACCAACAGGTCTGTGCCATAAAAAGGGAGAACAATTGACGTGAAAATAGAACATCCAAATCGCATGAAAGTAGGTCCCCCTGAGGCTGAACATCTCCGTATACTGAAGTTCATGTGCACTCAGAAAAATAAGTCTAAAATCTAAAAGTTTGAAAGTCTCAAGTGCACTGCCTGGTTGGTCCACACACCAAATTTTGAATCAGCCTTCCAGCAAAATTAAGATTTACTGTGAATCCAGCAAAAATGTTTGTTTCCTGGATGATCAGTAAAATGCGGGAACTGTCAAATAGATTACAATTTCGTAAGTGGATTCTTTATCGCATGCCTGATCGCAAGTTGAATAAAATTCAAAATCATGCTTATTTCAATAATACATAATAGGGGTAAACAATTTTTAGCGCGTCCTTTATTTTTCTTCTTGTTCACATTCGGCAAACTCAACAGAAAACGGCCTGCAAGCGTCGGAACCGAAGCAGAGGGTCCGCAAACCTACGCAAGCAAGTGTTCCAAGCTCGACAAAACCAGTGGAACCCCACAATACCTACATCACTCGGTCGTTTCTGATGCCGATCCCCATATCATCCTCACCCCCACCCGACGTCGAAAGAAAAACAGATCATCCCCCAACACCAAACGTAGAAAGAAGCCGGTATGATGACCAGCGTCAGAAACGACAAAACGACGCTAATATCACATAGTTTCAGCGGTTTTACTGAACTGGCCCCCCGGATCTCGGACCCGGATCCAAACACCAAAAGACCTTCCTTAATCGCAGGAATTTAGATGCTCTGTCTGCAGATCTCCATTTATTTGCTATCCATTTTATTTTGTTTTATCCCGCATCCAAATGCTAAAATAATTTCAAAATATCTTTGTTTATTTTATTTATTTTATATATTTATTTTTGATCACATATAGTTATCAAATCAAACAAAAACATTCACTTCTATTTTCAAAACGAATATTTTTTTAAATAAACGTATCATTATTTTTATTTTAAACATTATTATCAATGGATTCAAACATGGAATACGTTTGAAAACAACCTAGTTTATGTTTGTGGCCAGAACATAGCTTCTGAATTATCACCTTCGAACCAACTTAAGCCCGATAAGAAAGCATAAACGGTATAGGTGACCATTTATACATTTTATTTAACACATGATCTTCATTAACTTTTTTGCAAAGCGTCTGCTCTGAGTGGTGCGAAGTGAAATTTTCTTCATGTTGGTAGTGTTGAAATAAACGTTTCATCACCGTCGGTTGGTAGAGAGAAGTGTCAAACGGCTTTTTGTGCAGAGCCGATTCGTGACTTTGTGATTGTTTGTTGAAATTGTTCATAGCTGGAGTTTTTACGGAGTGGAATAAAATTCAGAATGAAGTGTTTTGCTCACTTTTGCAATTATAAAGATGGACACGACGAAAAGCGAAGCCTATTCAGGTTTCCCAAGGATTCAGCAGTACGAAAAGAGTGGCTCAGTTTCTGTGAGGTGGATCTCAATTTTCAAATCAAACCCAGTGACCGTATAAATTGTTGCAAATCAGATGCAAATTTAATGTGGCCGACGATATCTATGGAAGTGCTGTAGAAATTCCCTGGGACCTCCAATGGCAACGATTTGACTTCCCTCCAAATCGTGTGAAACTCGAACATGAAAACTATAGAACCCCCGTAGAACCTCGCTGGCAGCAACTAAAATATCCACTGAAACCTCTTCTGTCGCGGGAAAAATCTGTTGAAATTTCCTGGAACTTTTGTACCATCATCACAAATCTCCTTAGAACGTTCTCCGAAGTCACAGTCGTTCCTGAGCGAAAAAAAATCGGAGGGGTTTTTTTCAGCGCAGGAGTCTACTTTGGTCCAAAATACGCAATAATACTGTTATTTTTAATTGTTTGAGTCGTTTCGAATCACGTTTTTAAAAAGATCAAAAACATTACTGAAAAATATTTATTTTTTATTTTGGACGATACCAGTACTTCTATCTATTTCAACGAACCACTATGATAAAAAAGTGGTTCGATTTGACAGCTCGAAAGTGCACAGTGGTCCAAACGGCGAAAAACGTGATCGTGTGAGATTACGCAAAATCCTTTGAATTTAGGTATATAGTGTCTTCAGAGAAGTTTTAAGGCATAATTGGCGCCATCTTTTGACGGTAGCCATTTTGTGATCAATCCCCCTAAAAGTGGGATCCAACATTTATTTTTATTTTAAGTTGAGATAGAAGGTTTGTGTATTGAGCAAAGTTGTAGATTATGTAAATACAAACAACTATGCTGAAGACATAAACCTTCTATCTTTTTGCTCAATTGATCTATAAAGCGTTTTTTGTGGACGTGCCCCTTAAATCATATTTTTTACCATAACTTTTTCTATGTAATTTTTACAGGTTTGCAATGTTCTAAGGACTTCTTTGTATTGTTAAAATACATGTTTTTGTAGAACATTGTTTCTCGCTATTTTCTATATACTTGGAGATATTTGGGATTTTTCAATAAAATTGGCCTATTTTTGAACTCAAATATTTCATAAGGTGGCAAATGGTGGCAGATCAAACAACTTACATTTGAAAGTATAACAAAAATGCTGCAAAATCATGCCAGAGTTGTCTACATCGGACTACATCCGGAAAAGTTACAGCTGTTTTAAGAAGGGATCAAAATCAAATGTCTCCTATTAAATATTTGATGTCATTCAAAAGGCGACAATCGAGATACTGTGACTATCTGTCTGGTATGTTTATAAAGATCTTAATTCTTCGTTAGATCATTTTCCAAAGCTTTATGAACATTCTTGTATTGATATGTTGCGTTAATGACACTCTCTTTTGAATTAAAATTAAAAATAAAACCCGCTTTTTTTGTTGCTTTATTCGCTATCAGTATCGTCAGAATCAGACCCAGTACTTGAGTCGTTCATATCTAGTAGGAATTGAGCATCATTAGAAAATAAAATGTTTGGCTTGCACGTACTAATCCTATTCATTGTAATGAATGAATCAGACAACTCAAGCAATCGATGCAGCAGATCAGCACTTTTTCCAGCTGGGAAATCTTCGCTCAGTTTTGTGATCATCTTAGAAACTGACAGACCGACCAGAAACAGTATGGCGACATGCTTCTGTCATAGCTTTTTGCAATGGGTGCAGCAAACTCTATTTAACCTTTTGCAAACATGGCATCACTGTTGTGTGAAATGGTTGTACATTTGGTTTCGTATTTCATTAGCTCAAGATATGTATTTTTCTTTTTTTTTTGTATTCATGGCAATCCTCACGGGAAAGAAAATTGAATAGCTGAATGTTGCCATTCGAATGAGATCAAATATTTAATAGGAGACATTTGATTTTGATCCCTTCTTAAAACAGCTGTAACTTTTCCGGATGTAGTCCGATGTAGACAACTCTGGCATGATTTTGCAGCATTTTTGTTGTACTTTCAAATGTAAGTTGATTGATCTGCCACCATTTGCCACCTTATGAAATATTTGAGTTCAAAAATAGGTCAATTTTATTGAAAAATCCCAAATATCTCCAAGTATATAGGAAATAGCGAGAAACAATGTTCTACAAAAACATGTATTTTAACAATACAAAGAAGTCCTTACAACATTGCAAACCTGTAAAAATTACATAGAAAAAGTTACGGTTAAAAATATGATTTAAGGGGCACGTCCACAAAAAACGCTTTATAGATCAATTGAGCAAAAAGATAGAAGGTTTATGTCTTCAGCAAAGTTGTTTGTATTTATATAATCTACAACTTTGCCAAATACACAAACTTTCTATCTCCACTTTATAAAAAAAATGAGTGTTGGGTCCACTTTTAGGGGGATTGATCACAAAATGGCTACCGTCAAAAGATGGCGCCAATTATGCCTTAAAACTTCTCTGAAGACACTATATACCTAAATTCAAAGGATTTTGCGTAATCTCACACGATCACGTTTTTCGCCGTTTGGACCACTGTGAAGTGGTTCGATTTTGAGGTCCGTCTTCGCACCACTCAGCGTCTGCTTATTAGGTGACCCGAGTAGCACATTTCCGTCACAAAAAGTGGCAGCAAGTTGTTAACGACTAAAATAAGTTGTAAAGAAGTTTTTAAAACCAATTTGTGACAAGCGTGCTACTAGGGGACTTATACATTATTTTATGAATAATCAGCAACAAAAATTTGCCAAAAGGTGAAGGGCATTCTATCCGTGTACGTTAATTTTCAGATTTAAAAAAATCTAGACAAACATTTCGAAAGGTCCCAACTGCCTGCCACTGTCTTTGACTTTCTGGACGCTAGATGAGAACCTTCATCATCAAATTACGTATCAAATGGTTATCATAAGAGTAAGTCGATGAAGAGAATCAATCAAAGTAGATACAGTCAACTTTCACTCGTTGGGCTAAACCCATAGCCCACTTAGTGAAAGGCTTTCGATAGTTGGGCTGAGCTGTCAAGCTGAAAATTGGTTGAGTGATACACCGATTGTTTATTATCATCAAAATCTTTTAGCACTTTCCATATTGTTCAACCATGAGCCCCTCGAAATGGAATCAGCACTGTTATAAGTTCAACTAAACGTAGTCCACTTTAGAAGAACTCAAGTTGAACATTGCATTAGGTCCTATGTAACATTGATCGCTTCTCTTCGTCGACTTTCTCTTTCATTAATATTTTGACCAAATATACGTTTCTTGTTGTGTTTGTCAAATTAGATGCTAGATATAAGCTTCTTTAATCAATCTGTGTGCTGAAAATACCTGGGAATGTCTTTACATGGCCGTGGGGATAAAAAAAGAAAGTCGATGAAGAGAATCTGTCAATGTTACTTAGGACCGAATGAAATTTTCAGCTTTAATTCAGATATTC